CCGTCTCGGGGAAGCCGGATTCATTGCTGGATTCTCGGTAGCGAACGTCCTTTGTTTACCTTCGCACAGCCATGAGCAGGGCTCCGTACGGTGTAACTTGTGGGTGGCCCTATGAATTACAAGATTATTCCCGTGCGGGCTGTACGTGGAGTCCACTGTGAGTGGCCCTATGAACCACGAGAAGGGGAATGCTTCCGTATAGTCTCTATACGGCGTTATTGTCAGTGGGCCCTATATACCCACAACAAGATGCCATGAACCACTTGATTGAAAACTTCTGCAACACTTGTTAGACTTACCTAGAGGAGTAGATGTATCTATCAAGAACGTATATATATATATATATATATATATATATATATATATATAATATATATATATATATATATATAATATATATATATATATATAAATACAATAAGCTTAATCTGTCTCCTCTGCCAAACTCAGCGATCGAGTCAGCGCCTAGAATACATCAGTTTATAATTTTCTAACCTAATTTTCTATTGCTCGATAGTCCAGCTTGTAGTGTAAGTGGTGTGTAGTAGTAGTAGTAGTAGTAGTAGTAGTAGTAGTAATAGTAGTAGTAATAATAATAGTAGTAGTAACAGTAGTAGTAGTAGTAATAGTAGCAGTAACAGCTGCATCAATAGAAGCAGCAGGACATGGTTGAATCGTTATATCACTGACTAAAACTGATTCATTTTCTTGTGTTGTGATGGGGGGAGGGTAATGTTGATGGTTAGTGGTGATAGTGATGATGGAAGTAGTTTCTTGATGGTGACAGTAGATTGTTGATGGTGCTGTTTGTGTCAGTAGTGGTTGTGGTAGTAAGAGTTTTGTTTGTTGTGGTAGTAGTGGTGACAGTGGTGGAGCCAGTAGTGGGGGGAAGGGTGACAGTAGTGGTAGCGACAGTGGTGGTGGTGTGGTGTGATGGAGGGGGAGGGCAGTAGCTGGTGCTGGCTCCTGCCTTGCGGGATTTGGATAGCCTGGTTATTGTATATGAAATTATATCAGTTACTTTCCTTGCTTTGTTTTCTCCTGTCTGTCTGTTTCTCTGCTGTTTCCATTGGTGGCTGCTCCTGTGAGGTCAGGTTCTCCTTGGACCGCTGGTTCCCATTTGGTTCCAGTTGCCCGTGGTGGCCGGTCAATTCAGGGCAGGTCCACAACTGGTCCACCGCTGTTTCTCTCAGACAAAAGAAACACAATAACGAGAAACACCTCAGTATAACTGCCACGTGTAGATGTATGTTGTGTGTACCTATGTATACTGCGTGTATATGTGTATATGAAAGAAATAACAAGACAGTGAGAATGTGTAAGCCCATGAAAGCGCTCAGGTGTTTTTCCTATTTTCACTGTGGTATTTTGATATGTGTGTATATAAGTGTATATATATGTATTTCACATACATTCATGTATGTTCCTACGTGAGCATACTGCACCTATTAACTACAGAGGTATCGGGAAGTTAGGTCGCTGGTACCTTCTACTACGTAAGTTAAAGTGATATGTTTTTATGTTCGAACATTATACTATAAGGAAGGACACTATACACGTAGAAAATATATAGGAATAAGATGATATAAACATTCTACACGTCAGAGTATGATGTGAGACGCAGGAATGATAAATTATACGATATTTGGAGAGAGAGAGGAGGGAGGGAGGGAGGGAGGAGGGAGAGAGAGAGAGCGAGAGCGAGCCGAGCTGATGCAGGTACCAGCTCTTAGCTTGTAAATAAAGTCGGGAACCTTAACCTAACCTTGTAGAACCCTGTGTAAACAAAGACAGACAGATAGATAGGTAGATAGATAGACAGAGAGAGAACAATTACATAAACAAGTACCGTTAGTTTATCATTCCTAAGTAACGAGGTAATATGCTAACAACGAGAAGTGTTCTTAATTACTAACTTTATTTTTAAATAATTCTTGAGGATATTTTGGCCATACACCGGACCACTCTGGTAGTGGTCCAATACACCGGACCACTCTGGTAGTGGTCCAATACACCGACCACTCTGGTAGTGGTTCAATACACCGGACCACTCTGATAGTGGTCCAATACACCGGACCACTCTGGTAGTGGTCCAATACACCGGACCACTCTGGTAGTGGTCCAATACACCGGACCACTCTGGAAGTGGTCCAATACACCGGACCACTCTGGTTGTGGTCCAATACACCGGACCACTCTGGTAGTGGTCCAATACACCGGACCACTCTGGTAGTGGTCCAATACACCGGACCACTCTGGTAGTGGTCCAGATACACCGGACCACTCTGGTAGTGGTCCAATACACCGGACCACTCTGGTAGTGGTCAATACACCGGACCACTCTGGTAGTGGTCCAATACACCGGACCACTCTGGTAGTGGTCCAATACACCGGACCACTCTGGTAGTGGTCCAATACACCGGACCACTCTGGTAGTGGTCCAATACACCGGACCACTCTGGTAGTGGTCCAATACACCGGACCACTCTGGTAGTGGTCCAATACGACCGGACCACTCTGGTAGTGGCATACCCCCCAATACACCGGACCACTCTGGTAGTGGTCCAATACACCGGACCACTCTGGTAGTGGTCCAATACACCGGACCACTCTGGTAGTGGTCCAATACCCCGGACCACTCTGGTAGTGGTCCAATACACCGGACCACTCTGGTAGTGGTCCAATACACCGGACCACTCTGGTAGTGGTCCAATACACCGGACCACTCTGATAGTGGTCCAATACACCGGACCACTCTGGTAGTGGTCCAATACACCGGACCACTCTGGTAGTGGTCCAATACACCGGACCACTCTGTAGTGGTCCAATACACCGGACCACTCTGGAAGTGGTCCAATAACCGGACCACTCTGGTAGTGGTCCAATACCCGGACCACTCTGGTAGTGGTCCAATACACCGGACCACTCTGGTAGTGGTCCAATACACCGGACCACTCTGGTAGTGGTCCAATACACCGGACCACTCTGATAGTGGTTCAATACACCGGACCACTCTGATAGTGGTCCAATACACCTGACCACTCTGGTAGTGGTCCAATACACCGGACCACTCTGATAGTGGTCCAATACACCGGACCACTCTGGAAGTGGTCCAATACACCGGACCACTCTGGTAGTGGTCCAATACACCGGACCACTCGATAGTGGTCTCAATACACCGGACCACTCTGGCAGTGGTCCAATACACTGGACCTCTCTGGTAGTGGTCCAATACACCGGACCACTCTGGTAGTGGTCCAATACACCGGACCACTCTGGTAGTGGTCCAATACACCGGACCACTCTGGTAGTGGTCCAATACCCCGGACCACTCTGGTAGTGGTCCAATACCGTGACCACTCTGGTAGTGGTCCAATACACCGGACCACTCTGTAGTGGTCCAATACACCGGACCACTCTGATAGTGGTCCAATACACCGGACCACTCTGGCAGTGGTCCAATACACTGGACCTCTCTGGTAGTGGTCCAATACACCGGACCACTCTGGTAGTGGTCCAATACACCGGACCACTCTGATAGTGGTCCATACACCGGACCACTCTGGTAGTGGTCCAATACACCCGACCACTCTGGTAGTGGTCCAATACACAGACCACTCTGGTAGTGGTCCAATACATCGGACCACTCTGACAGTGGTCCAATACACCGACCACTCTGGTAGTGTCCAATACACCGGACCACTCTGGTATGTGGTCCAATACACCAGACCACTCTGGTAGTGGTTTCCCAATACACCGGACCACTCTGGTAGTGGTCCAATACACCGGACCACTCTGGTAGTGGTCCAATACGCCTAGACCACTCTGTGTGGCCCATGACTGGCGGTCCATACACCGGACCACTCATGGCCCCCTTGCCACTCTGACAGTGATTCATTGACCCCTGTAGATATTCAAGATTCGACGCACGCTGAGTAGTACGACCAATACGACAGACGCATGGAGTTTATCGACCACTTACTCGTCTCCAGAAGCGGACCACTGCGTCCAATACGCCGCCCTCTGTGGTCATCCGGAGCGGACCATACCACCCTCATTTCCCTCCGTCTATTTTGGACCACTTTCCCGTAGGACTCCCGGCACATATTCAAATTTTCGACGCCGCTCACGTAGGTACGGGCACATCTGGCGAGGCAGTTTGGTTTTAGAAGGGGCACTGCGAATTCTCTGCTTCTATGGTGAGATCCGGACTACATACCCCCTCTACTTTCCTCTTTCTCATTTCTCCCTCTTTCCATGGACACTAGCACTTTTTTTTTTTTGTCCTCAGGATGGTCGGACACATCTGGCTGGACAGGTTTTTTAGGAAGGATGTCAGATAGAGGAGTTCTGCATCTCTAGGTGAAAGGGGACTAACTACCACACTCTTCTCTCTCTTTTATTTCCACCGTCTGGAATCCACTGATAGGCACTACGATTAGCGTCCACTCTAGACCACTATCTCTCTAATTCGCAAACCGCCAGGTTTCAGCCAACGGATGTCAATAGTCTCGCGCGTCAGTTCGGGCAACTCGTCTCGAAGCGACCGGACACGTAGGCCGGATGTTTGTCTAGGAGGGCCACGCGTGTCCGGCCACTGCAGACACCCCATCAGGGAGGGAGAGAGAGAGAGAGAGATGGGAAGAGAGAGAGAGAGAGAGAGAGAGAGGGGGGGATTGGAGCGAGAAGGGGGAGGAGGAACAATCACAATAATAGAGAAAGATAGAAGATAGAGAAGGTTGAAATCTGATGTTGACATTGAACAATATAACATCAAAGTGAACAAGACTTGAAGACAATAATGTATATACATACATACATATATATATATATATATTATATATATATATATATATATATATATATATATATATATATATATATACATTATATATATATATATATATATATATATATATATATATATATATATATATATAATATATATATATATATATATATATATATACACATACATATATATATATTAGAGAGATAACAGATTCAGGAGCAGCAGGCATAGATACTATAACAATTATCTGAAACAGTCGTCAACACCCTTAACACATGTTCATATATATATATATACACTTCTCCGGGGAGTGGTGTAAGTTAGAACGGTGCTCTGACTTAGGTATTACATACAGCAGGTGTGTGTGTGTGAGTATAGGAACACCTCTCCTCTCCCTCCCTTGAGTTACGTCTCTTCTGATGTACTTTCATATATCTGAAATACCTCTCACGGATCCTTTTTTCTAGGTTGTATGTTGCCTGGCTCTAGGTTACAGGGGTGCCACACGGCATCATTCCTGGCACTCGCAAGTGAACGTGAAGGAATTTTGTAGTATCACCGGCCGGTGATTGATCCACGTCGCTCATTTCATAGGAATGCGCATTGCCAGCAGCAACAGTGCGGTGAGCAGCGGTAACAGCAGTAGTAGTAGTAGGAGGAGGATGTCACGGGTATAACAGCAGCAGGAGGCAGGACATGAAGAGCGGTAGAGGCTGCAGCAGGAAGCCATTTAAAAGGTCTGGCCCTGACGCGGAACTCCCTCCGGCACCCACTGTCATGTCTGCCACGGACACACCTGTGAAGGGATACACACCTGTCAACACATAAGTATAAACATGAATTTACAGAGAGAATCATAAACACAAACAAATTCATTATTTATGCAATAAAATCACAGTAAAACAACCACTGTGAAAAAACAGTGAAATTCCAAGCGCTTTTGTGACTTCTCACATTATTAATTTCACTATTTTTTCACAGTGGTTGTTTTGTACATTATATATATATAGAGGTGGTACCTCCCTATATTATAATATATATATATATATATATATATATATATATATATATATAATATATATAATATATATATATATATATATATAATTCTTGTTAAACACAGGGTCCTGAAGGACGCAAGATGACGTCCTGAGGGGACGCAAAGATACCTGACTGCTTTCATATACAAAAAAATGACGTATATTGATATGCAGTATGAGTAGCGAGGAACGTCAGCCCTGTGTGTTGCAAGTGTTGCAACACACAGTCCGACGTAGAATGCAGTGGAAATGCTGCAAGAGTTGCTTCATAGTGACTTTAGGAGCGAGAAAGACTCCTGACGCTGAAAAAAAGAGAACTGTCTTCATTGGCAAGAAGGTGAAAGATAGAAGACATAAGAAGTAGCTCTAAGTGAAACAGAGGAGACATAACGAGTGTGAGGAACAGAGAGACACAGAAGTGCTCAGAAATACATACGAAATCATTTTATTGGGAGAGATGATCAGTGAGACGCTAAACAATGTACATAGAGCTCTCTCTCTCTCTCTTTCTCTTCTCTCTTTCAGTGAACTGATTGTCTTGAACATGTAGAAGGACATTTAACATCTCTCTTTCTCTCTCTCTCTCTCTCTGTCTCTCTGTCTATCTATCTATCTTTAGTTAAGAGCAGATCTTCTCAGAAGATAGCTTCATGTGAAGTGGATTTCCAAGTGCTCTTATCCGTGTCTTAAACATTCTCTCTCTCTCTCTCTCTCTCTCTCTCTCTCTCTCTCTCTCTCTCTCTCTCTCTCTCTCTCTCTCTCTCTCTCTCTCTCTCTCTCTCTCTCTCTCTCTCTCTTTCTCTTTCTTCTCTCTCTCTCTCTCTCACCGTTGTTGGTGGGGTGGGCAGTCTTGGGTACTAGAGGGGGGTCGTCGAAGTCTTCCTTGCCCTGGGCAGAACGCCCCACCTCCTTCCTCGGGTAGCTGACTTCAGCTCGAGGATCCGGCACGCCGTATATGTCTGGTGGAGGGAGAGAGAGACATCTCCCTAGCTATTTCCACCACTGGTACATTCTACTCACACCTCACTACCACCCCGACCTAGTTTAACTGCCACCCTGGGGGGGGGGGAAAAAGACCCTAGTATAATACCACCCCACAACCACCACAAACACTACAACCAGCAACACCAACAACAACTGCAATCCAACCCTTCTCCACCATCCCCTCCTCTCACCCCTTCTCCCAGTCTCCCCTCCTTCCAGCCAGGCCAAACTACTAATAAGTTGCCGGGGAGACAAGAGTCTGTCCCAAGTTTCTCTATCAAGACCTCCTGCCGGGTCCCAGCGCCTCTCAAGGATAGAATTAACACGGTTTTGGGGTGGTGCCAGTGCCTAGGGGAGGGCCAAGCAGAGAGTGCCAACACTGTCTCTTATCCTTTGGGTAGTAGATAGGAAAAGACTCTTTTCACTTTCGTTCAAGACAGTTCTTTTTCTATCACACACACACAACACACAACACTCACACACGTCCACACACACACACACACACACACTACACACACACACATTATATTTATATTTTTATATTTATATATATATATATATATATATATATATATAATTATTATTATTATTATTATTATTATTTTATTTCACACTGCCCGATCCCACCAAGGCAGGGCTGGCCCGAAAAAGAAAAAACTTTCACCATCATTCACTCCATCACTGTCTTGCAGAAGGGTGCTTTACACTACAGATTTTTAAACTGCAACATTAACTCCCCTCCTTCGAGCGCAGCAGTACTTCCCATCTCCCAGGGACTCAAGGCGGACAGGGGCCCGGTTTCCCTTGGAACCCCTTCATAATTGATTACTTTGCTCACACTCCAACAGCACGTCAAGTGACATTAAAACCATTCGTCTCCCATTCACTCCTATCAAACACGCTCACGCACGGTCCTGCTGAAGTCCAAGCCCCTCGCACACAAAACCTCCTTTACCCCCTCTCTCCAACCTTTCCTAGGCCCGCCCCCCCTTTATTTTTTTACCCCGGGGCCCCCCCCTTTTATTTTTCCTTCAATACAGACTGATACACTCTTTGAAGTCATTTCTGTTTTTCTCTCCATTCTCTTACTACACGTCCGAACCACCTCAACAACCCTTCCTCAGCCTCTGTGACAACAGTTTTGGTTAATCCCCGCACCTCCTCCTAACTTCCAAAACATACGAATTCTGATTATATTCACCACCACACATTGCCTCAGACATGACATCTCCACTGCCTCCAGCCTTCTCCTCGCTGCAACATTCATCACATGCTTCTCACCATATAAGAGCGTTGGTAAAACTATACTTCTCATAATTCCCCTCTTTGCTCCAAAGGACAAAGTTTCGTTGTCTCACAGAATCCTAAGTGCACACTCACTTCTTTTCCCCTCATTCAATTCATGATTCACCTCATCCTTCATGGACCATCCGCTTGACACGTCATCCCAAATATCTGAATACATTCACTCCTCCATACTCTCCCCTCCAATCTGAATCCAATCTTTCATCACCTATATTTTTGTTATCCTCATAACCTTACTCTTCCTGTATTCACTTTTAATTTTCTTCTTTTGCACACCTACCAAAATTCATCCACCAATATCTGCAACTTTCTCTTCAGAATCTCCCAAGAGCACAGTGTCATTCAGCAAAGGAGCAACTGTGACAACTCCCACTTTATCGTGTGATCTTTATCTTTTAACTCCCACTGCTTGTCAAACCCTCGCCATTTACTTCTCTTACAAACCCCATCTATAATATATTAAACAACCACGGTGAATCACACATCCTTGGTTCTAAGGCCTACCTTTTTACTGGGGAAATAATTTCCCTCTTTCCTAATACTCTAAATTGAGCCTCATTTCCTCGTAAAAAACTCTCATGCTTTCAGTAACCTACCTCTACACCTACACTGCATCATCAGCCACATTGCCCCCCTATCCACCCTGTCATACCCTTTTCAAATCATAAATGCCACAAAGACCTTATTTTAAGCCTTATCTAAATTACTGTTAACTTATTGTTTCACTGTTAACACACTGTCCACACAACCCCCTACCTTTCCTAAAACTTCCTTGTTTCATTGCTATTTATTCTTTCAGTCTTACTCTTAATTCTTTCAATAATAACTCTACATTACACTTTACCAGGTATACTCAACAGACTTATCCCCTATAATTTTTGCACTCTATTTTGTCCCTTTGCTATGTATACAAAAGAATATGCATGGACTCTCTGCCAACCCTAGGTTACCTTTTCCTTACTCTCTTCCAACATTTATTAAATAATTGCACCACACTCCCAAAACTATATCCCCTGGTTCTCAGGACCGGGGCCCGCGGGGGCGTTGACCCCCGGAACTCTTCTTCCAGGTAAACTCCACCTGCTTTTAACATTTCATATCTTTTCCATCAATCCCGGCCTGCCTACCCCCTTTTCATTTTACCTACTGCCTCACGACATTCCCCCACACTCACAACTGGCTCTCTCCTCCTCTACAAAGTTGTTATTCCTCCTTGCCTTACACGAAATCACGCTTTCCCTATCTTCATCAACATTTAACAATTCCTCAAAATATTACCTCCATCTTCCCAATACCTCTAACTCTCCATTTAATAAATTCTCCTCTCCTATTTTTAACTGACAAATCCATTTGTTCTCTAGGCTTCTTAACTTGTTATCTCACTCCAAACTTTTTCTTATTTTCAACAAAATTTGTTGAAAACAGTCTCACCCACTCTCTCATTTGCTCTCTTTTTACTTTGCTTTCACACTCTCTTAACTCTCTCTTTTTCTCCCATATACTCTTCCTCCTTGCATCACTTCTTACTTTGTAAAAACTTCTATATGCTAACTTTTTTATCTCCCCACCTTACTACTCTCTTTACATCATCATCCACCAATCGCTACTCTTCCTCCCGACTCACCCACTTTCCTGTTAACCACAACTTCTGCTGAACACTAACACTACATTTTTTAAACCTACCCCATACCTCTTCGACCCATTGCCTAAATGCTCTTCAATTAGCCATCTATCCTCCAATAGCTGTTTATATCTTTCCCTAACCTGCCTCCTCTTTTAGTTTATAAACCTTCACCTCTCTCTTCCCTGTGCTTCTATTCTCCTTGTATCCCATCTACCTTTTACTCTCAGTTCGTTAGATACAACTAAGAAAGGTGATCTGATATATCTGTGGCCCCTCTATAAACATGTACATCCTGAAGTCTACTCAACAGTCTTTTATCTTACCAAAACATTATCATACAAACTACTGTCATTTCGCCCTACATATCTTGTATACTTATTTATCCTCTTTTGTTAAATATGTATTACCTATACTAAACCCTTTCTATACAAAGTTCAAGCAAAGGGGCTCCCATTATCATTTACACCTGGGCACCCCAAACTTACCTACCACACCTTCTAAAAGTTTCTCCTACTTTAGCATTCAGTTCCCTACCACAATTACCTCTCTCACTTGGTTCAAAGGCTCCTATACATTCATTAACATCTCCCAAAAATTGGATGTCCTGCCTAAGCGAAACAAAGCTGAAGGGGGTTGGGAGTTTCGGTGGGGGGGAAATAAATGGATACTTAAATCTGGAGATCTGAGACGAGTTAGAGCAAAAAGAAGGGGTAGCAGTAATGTGAATGTTTTTTTTTTATAACAGTTATGGAAGGAGAAAGAGAATATGATTGTGTAAATGCAAGATGCATGTGGATTTTAACGTACAGGTTGGATGCGAGAAATGGTTCATAATAAGCGTGTATGCACCTGGAGAAGAGAGGAATATATATATATTTTATTTTTTATTATCACACCGGCCGATTCCCACCAAGGCGGGTGGCCCGAAAAGAAAAACTTTCACCATTCATTCACTCTCACTGTCTTGCGAAGGGTGCTTTTACACTAAGTTTTTAAACTGCAACATTAAACAGACCCCTCCTTCAGAGGTGCAGGCAACTGTACTTTCCCATCTCCAGGACTCAAGTCCGGCCCTGCCGGTTTCCCTGAATCACTTCATAAAATGTTACGTTGCTCACACTCCAACAGCACGTCAAGTATTAAAAAACCATTTGCTCCATTTCACTCCTATCAAACACGCTCACGCATGCCTGCTTGGAAGTTCCAAGCCCTCGCACACACAAACCTCCTTACCCCCTCCCTCCAACCCTTCTAGGCCGACCCCTACCCGCTTTCTTCCACTACGACTGATACACTCTTGAAGTCATTTGTTTCGCTCCATTCTCTCTTACTTGTCCGAACCACCTCAACAACCCTTCCTCAGCCCTCTGGACAACAGTTTTGGTAATCCCGCCACCTCCTCTAACTCCCCAAACTACGAATTCTCTGCTTATATTCAACACAACAATTGCGTTCTCAGCCATCAGACATGACATCTCCACTGCCTCCGCCTTCCCCTCGCTGCAACATTCATCACCCACGCTTACACCCATATAGAGCGTTGGTAAAACTATACTCTCATACATTCACTCTTTGCTCAAGGGACAAAGTTCTTTGTCTCCACGACTCCTAAGTGCCCACCACTCACTCTTTTTCCTCAATCAATTATATGATTCAACCTCATCTTCATAGACCCATCCGCTGACACGTCCACTTCCCAAATTTCTGGAATACGTTCACTCCTCCATACTCTCTCCTCCAATTGATATTCAATCTTTCATCACTAATCTTTTTGTCTATTCCTCATAAACCTTTACTCTTTTCCTGTATTCACCTGTAATTTTCTTTCTTTTGCACACCATACCAAATTCATCCACCAATTCTCTGCAACTTCTCTTAGAATCTCCCAAGAGCACAGTGTCATCAGCAAAGAGCAGCTGTGACAACTCCCACTATGTGTGTGATTCTTTATTCTTTTAACTCCACGCCTCTTGCCAAGACCCTCGCATTTTACTTCTCTTACAACCCCATCTATAAATATTTTAAACAACCCACGGTGAATCACAC